ACATGAGAGACATGATTTCAGATATTGTAAATCATGTGTGTTATGTCAGAAAAGGTCTACCACAAGAATGGTTGAACCTTTATTTCCGACTATCTTGGTAGAGCCAGGTAACAGAGTTCATCTTGATCTCATCACGATTTCTCCAGGCAAAGGTGGGATGAGATATATATTAAACATGAGAGATAATTTATCTGGATACGTTGAGGCAAAAACTCTGAAAAGGAAGACAGCCGAGCAAGTGGCTGATTGGATAGAGGAAGTTTATCTCAGGTATCCTTTTATCAGAGAATTAGTCTCAGACAGAGGATCAGAATTCAGAAATGAGGTTGTCAGAAGAATTACACTCAGATTGGGTGTCAGAATTCGGTATGTGACTACTTACCATCCTCAAGCGAATGCACCTGTTGAAAGAGGTCACAGAACTCTGAAAAATTCATTGGCCAAGTGGTGTGAAGGGAATCTCCGCAACTAGCCAAAGGTATTAAGAGTTGCTGTATACGCTGATAATATCACAGTCAAGAGAACTACTGGTTACACACCTTTTACACTGTGGTATGACCGTTATGCTGCGCTACCAATTGAGAGTATTGTCAAGACATGATCAAGTCAAGAAAGCGACAGAGACTATTCCACGTCAGAGCTCGTCCAGATTAGAATGAGATAGATATCGGAAGTAGATCTGGCAGTGATGGATGCTGCAGAAAGAACGGCATCCAGCAAGCTATCAGATCAAGAGAAATGGAACAGGAAAAGATACATAAGAAAAGAGAAATGAAGGTTGAAGATGTTGTCCTTTTGTTTGACAGTTCTCTTGAGACACAATGGACTAAAAGGTTGGAGGCCAGATGGTTTGGTCCTTACAGAATCACTGGAGAGGCAGAAGGCAAGGTTTAGGAGATTTCAGAAGTGAACGGATCCAGGGTTCATGACATGGTATCAGGTTTCAGACTTCGTAAGTTCATATTCAGAGACCCAGATCTGATTCCTACAGTAACCTCAAGGAGAGGGAAGAGAGGTCATTCATCTAAGTAAGAGAATAGTTCCAGACAACTAAGAAAAAAGGTACAGTGAGACAATAAGACAGCAAAACTGAATTTTCAAGAGGTTGTGATCATTCATGCATAGTCAATTCAGCATTTCGGATTCAACATTTCAGTTCCAGAACTTCAGTTTTATCATTTCAGTTTCGGTAATTTAATTTCAGTCTTCAGTTTCAGTATCTCAGTTTTCATCAAGTCCTTTCATTCATTATTTCAGCAAACGACTAAGTCAGGTCTTTTGATGCAGTGCTACAGTCGTTCCATGAGTGTCAAGTCTCTGAGAGTGGGGAATAACTGTGAAATCAGTTTCGTATGTATTGACACAGTGTCAAGGATTTGAGAAGCTTATGGCTGTGGCACATCAAAAGGTATGATCAGTACTATCCTAAGATAAAGAGAAGAGCATGGTGGGCATGAAGAAGTTCAGTTCTGTCTGACTAAGAGTTATCAGCAGAAAAACTTCGTGTCTCTGAGTAAAATGTTCATCCAAGAGATTCGGATGAAGGCAGGCATAAAGAAGTTCAACTTTCCTTGACTGAGAGTGGTCAGTACAGGGACTTCGTGCCTTTGGCTAAGGGTTTGTCTTCGCTCGGGTGAGGGAAGGGACCTCTATGAAATCAACATTTCAGTACTTCCTTGAGACTGACGGGACGTCTCTTGGAAAAGAAAAGGAAATTCCCAACTGAAGGAAGAGACCTCTCTAGGGCCAGGACTAAGCATCCTTCTTGAGACTTAAGGGAGGTTTCCTGTAAGGGATTGGTGATGGTTATCATGTTGTTGTTCAGTGCCTCTCGAGACTGACGGAACGTCTCTTGAGAAATGTTTGTCCTGTTATGGGGCGTGGGCAGTCTGCTTGTGGGTCATGATATGCTTGCCTGATTGTGTATGTCTGAGAGTTCTCTTCTCTAACCTAAGGATGCGTTGATTGTCGGGGCCAGCCAGAGCCTTACCGCAGCAGGTTGCAATCTGGTGGGGCCAGCAGGTCCCCGACGCGAGTGTCGAATTCCATAGTCGATTAAGGCTGAGGCTCCGGGAGCCTGGCCTATGAGGTCGAAAAAGGTCAGCTGGAACCCTACCGCAGTCAGAGGTTGCAATCCAGTGAGGTTAGCCAGAGCCTGGAACAGTGGTTAGACCGGGTCCCACGTTCAAAAATTTGGGCGGGGCAGCCAGCACCCTTGGCCAAAAACTGGTAGGTGAGCCGGTCCCTGACCGCAGTGGTCAAATCCGGGTTCGGGACAGTTTGACCGACGGGACGTCTACTGTCATAGGGTGACCAGACCCGCTATAGTGTGGGTGTCCTGGAGAGCGCGCCAAAGGGCTGTCATGCTCGAGTAGTGGGTATGCTGGTCCAGACCTGGAGGCAGGTCAAAAGGGCTGTCAAGACAAATGGTCTGACTAGTCCTGGCCTGAGGCGGGCTGAATGAGGTATACCAGACTAACGGGACGTCCGACATTCCTGGCCAGTGGTGGGCCGAAACCAAGGCAATCAATAAACCATGGGTATGAAAAGTTGTTATGTGTTAATTGTTATTTGTTATTTATTATTTTATTTATGGGTTTTATTTTAATTTGTTAATGTTTGACTGTTGGTTGTTAGAGGGTCTACTTGCTGGGGCATGGTTGTTGTGTGGGACTTGCTGATGTTGCAGGTATACAAATACTTATTTGAAGTTCCCAGACCAGAGAAAATGAAAAGGGTTTGGTATCCCCTCCCTTTCATCTGAGAAGTTGAGGAGACGCCTCACTTAGACCAGAGAAAGAAAACAAGGGTTTGGTATCCCCATCAGGTGCTTGAGAAGCTGAGAGGACGCCTCACTCAGGCCAGAATAGAAAAGAGGGTTTGGTATGCCCTATTTCCTGCATGCCAGACAGACGAGTACCCTCGTTACTGGAATAGCGTTCCTGACACAGATGCCTGATCAAGAGCTAAGGTAACCTTCGTGCAGAAAATCAGCAGCGGAACGAGTCAAACAGGTAGACAAAAATCCTTCTTAAATTTTATTTAGTGGTCGACAAGCGGCCTGGTTCACGGGGAACTTGCTTCCCTGGCGTCAAGATATTCAAACTCTCAAGCCTGGGACACTATGAGTGATGTATGAGCTGAGAAATTAGAAAGATGAGAAGAAATCGCGCTTGTACGGTATATAAAAAATTGCCATGAGTTCTATCTGAAATAGAGAGAGAAGAAAGAAAATACTGAAGAGAATGCAGCCATTGGGATGAGGAGCAGAGGGGGCAATACAAGGAAAGGAGGGAACAGTCACTAGGGCTCTATTCGCCGTTAGGGTGGTAGGAGCTCTGGGAGAGCAAAGGGGGAGAGGACGTGCTGGGTGCGCCATAGCACGCTTCAAAATTTTTTCTGAAATAGTCCATCCTGTCGGGGGATGGAGTCCTCTCATACCACGGGGTGAGCGAATGGCGAGGATAGGGTCTCGAGTGAGCGCCATAACCTCTTGGCTCATCCTCCTCCTCCTCAAAATTATAATCGCGCCGCGTACGGGCTGGCGGCTCTTCCTTAGCCTTACCTCCTCTCCCTCCTCTTCCTCTACCCTACCCGCAACGCGCCTCAGGCATGATGTAAAGTGAGTGCCCGTGAAGAGGGAGATAAGAGAATAGGTGATGTAAAATTGAGGGTTACGACCTAAGAGTACTGTGTGAGTAGGATCCCTACTAAGGGCGAAGAAATTATTAGAGAAGAAGGAAGAAGGAAAACTACCCTGGAGGTAGGGGATTACAACGTGACAATAGGGGAAAAGGTAACTAGCATCGGGAGAGACGGAACTAACGTTGAGGAAAAGGCTAACGCCGGGAGAGCTAGTGTTGAAAAAGAAGATTGACGCAGAGAGAGATGGCTAATGTGGAGAAAGATAGGCGAGCACAGATAAGAAAGGCGGGCATAGAGAAAAAGGATGGCGCTGAAAAAGAGAGTGAACGCTAAAGCAAAAACAGAAAACGGACTGTGTAGAATTACGGTGCGAGCTCGGCAGTGAGTCGCAAGTAGGAATGAATCAGAAGTATTGCTTGCTCACTCTGGTTTTATGTTGAAAGCGCGATGCGTTTCGACCCAGCGGGAACGCTGGGTGGGGGTTTGGTATTATGTCGGAGGGCACGGTGTCCCGACCCTCCTTTGTGTACCTGTTCCTCGCTCAGTGCCAGTCCCTTGCCCTGACTTACTGATCCCTAAGGCTCGTCTGGTGCTGTTTAGATCTGGTACCTGGATTATTATCGGCGCAGACCGGCCCCGGTGGCGCAACTCTCAACAAAAGGGGTGCGCCACAGGACTTCCATTGGTCCACGTAGGCTCGGCGCCCTACTGTATAGCAGAGCACAACCGGCCTGTGGCCGTGGTAGCCGTCGGGTTCGCCCTGGGACGCGGAGGTGAGAAGGTTGGCTCAGTCTTTTCAACTGTGCGCCAATCGCCCCTCTACTTAGTTATGGGTTAGGTGCACTAGGCAGAGGTCACTGTCAAAAGAAAAAAGAAAAGATAATAAAATATAATAAAACGCCGAGTATGAAATTGTTTAGTTTGGGGGAAAACTAGAGGCATCAGGCCACTGTGACTTTGCGCTTCCTTTTTCATTCTTGTTTCACAGCTATCATTATTATTTTTGTTATTATTACTTAATTTTTCTATTTTCGATTCTCTACATGTTGGCCTGTCCTTTCGCGGGAAGGCCAACGGTTCGAATTTCGAGCCAGTGGTCCACGGCCTGAGTAGGCCGGCCTTGCGTGTACTGTCTGTGGGTGAGCTCCAATCTGGCGTCATGCGGTAAGACCCCAAAAGGAGGGCAACCCGCGGCCGCATCGGTAGGAAGCTCATCACCCCTTGAAGAGGGTCATGAGCCCCCTCCTTACCATCGGACGCGGACACCCGACAGAGGTAGATCAACGACCCCGTTTTAAAGTGAAAAGTGCGCCGTCGGGGTCCCGTTATAGGATCGACGATTTCTCTATGTAAGTCGATTCGGCAGGATTAGTGGTTGGTGGTAAACTGAGTGTCATCCTGCAGGCGACTATTGAGTTTCAGACTCAGATGATTTTTAAGAGGTAGATCAACGGCCCCGTTTATTTGTGCCTTCGAAAGGACTTTGTTAAAACTCCTCGTTTAGTACACAGGGAAACACGTCCTCTCTGAACTCTATAAAAGAGGACTACCCGTGGATCTCTCAGCAGGTTCGTTGAGGCTATCGCGCTGGAAGAAGAGATAGTGGCAGGGCGTTGAAGTTATCGGCTCGTGGTAGAATGCACACTAATAGCCTGTCCTTCTCAAGTGCAACGCGGGAGCTGAAGTGCTTAGTTCTTGTACCAGCTATTGCAAGGACTGTGGCTATGGCGTTGCATGGGTATAGACCCTGCTATTGGTACCACCAGATTCGATGGAAGCCCATGTTCAGGGAGGGGGCTTGGATCACGACGATACTCAACTACGACGGGGGAGACGAGTTAAGACTGAGAATCAACGTGGAGGGAGGAAAAGAGGTGGAGATGCGGACTGATGGGAAACTGCAGAATGCGATCACAGAGGCAAAGGACCGTGCTGAGAAGCGCTGCAGGAAGGACGACGTAATGGCAAAAATGCAGGTAACGGTCTCGTACCATGAGACCGAGACCTCGATGGATACGGCGGACAGGGAGCAGGCCCATCTGGCCCGTGACTCAGGTGGAGAGAGCGAGATGAGTGAAGCGGGGGACCGGGAGACGGACCTCAGGTCCTGGAATAGACCAGGCGAGATCCAGAGGCATCACCGAGCCGCGAAGCCGGTGGAGCGCGGACCCGAGGCCAGCTCTCGGCAACTGGCGCCCAGAGGCCGCGGGACGGAGGAGAGGCAGAACAGGGGGAAAGGACGTGTGTGAGGGAGCAGCGCCAGAGGTCAACGCATGGTCGTTCTGAGAAACGGGGAGTGAGCTACGAGGCGGTTACATGCGTACGCATGGCACAGTCGAAGGTGTGTGAAGTTAGCAAGAGGAGGGACTTGGTAAGCGTAGCGGGGTAGAGACCAGCGGGCGGCAGTACGGCCTCAAAGGACGGGAGACAAGAAAGGGGGAGTGAGTGGTCGACAGAGCGCGAGCTACACGTGGCAGCCGGGAGAAGAGCGAGGGGGAGTCAATCAACGGAAGGCGAGACAAGCGGTGGGTCGAGAAAGGCGATGGTGGGACATGACACGTGTTACGGGCTATAGCCAAGAGAGTGCTGGTCACTAGACGTAGGCGGGGCGGACTCGCAGAGCAGTTATGCACGTACAAGTGATGTACGGCACGCGAGCAGGACACAAAAATGCTCAGTGCTGTTGACATCAAGCGCTATCGCGCCCATGTAACCTTTTTAGCTTGTTGGGTCACTATGAGTTTTGGCCACGTTGCACGGATCATCATATGCATTAAGTGTGAGCTACACGAACGTGCACTTCTCCAACAATAATGTCATCGCAGGCGGTCAGTGATGCATGCTCTTTGATGAGAAGTGATGCAACGCGTTGTATGATCTATGCGCGATGCGTTTCGTGAGTGAGTGTGACAAGGAAGTCAACTTCCATTGTTACTTATGTGAAGTGTGTTCGCCTGTTGAGCGTTGCGCGCTGTCCCGAGTAAGTCCGATGCAGTGGTAAGTGAGCTCACATGAGTGAGTGAGACTGAAAAGTGATACGCAATCAGCACGAGTTTTGTAGACGGGGAAAAGTGGATTGAGATTTGATAGCCAGAGTTAACCCTTACCTTTTTTTTTTTGGGGAAGTTTGTAGTGAGAGAAGAAGATTCAACAGTATCTTTCAGTTGATTTCGTTGTGGTTGTCCATTCGTCAAGAAAAACGTGCCGCATTGGTGGGTTGACAACGATCTGTTTCTTGAACTCGATGACTGAACCATGCTCTCCTTGGAAACATTTAAGCGTTTGAGGCAGTGAGGCGGCCATGGACGACAACCCTGTCAGTGACTGGTGTGTTTACTCAGGACTTGCACTTGCAACTTTTATTGTCTCTTTTCCATGGCGACGTTTGTTTTCGGGAGTAGCTCCACCTAAGCAGGCGAGTCGCTGCTGACGTTGCCTACTTTGGAGTTGGGCTAGCTGTTTTGCTTGCGGTCCTCAACTTTGTGTTAACTTCGCACTGCGGTTTAGTGTGTGGGCGAGCTGTCGAATAGTTGCAGATAAAATGGGTGATCACTAGTTGTATTTAAGAGTCTCATTTACTTAGAGGGACTGAGAATAAGCTGGCATGATCAAGCCCTATACGGGTTTGAAACGCTCAGTATGGAGACCTGACAAGTAAATCCTAGCCTCTTCCATGAATGAATGCTACGGCGCAGGTAAGAGGCTAATCTTGAGATCATTGTTTAATGAAGCTGGCAACAGTTAAGACTGTTGTAAAACCTGCGACTTAATCTTTCAAGTCGTCTTGTAAACAGGTTGTTTGAGTTGCGTGATGTCGTAGGAAGAGAAAAGGGGTAACCGAGGTGGTCATGTGAATCAGCTCGAGAAGCCAACCGAACTCGATTGCGATCCCTCGAAACTCTGTCCCTCCTTTCCGCTCATTGATTGATGGGAAAGAGGCGATCTGTGATTTGAGAGATAGCCTACCTATTAGTCAAGTACTTACTCGACGGGGATTAATCCTAGAACTCATCCATTTTAAGTTTGCTCGTGTGAAGGGCTTTAACCGAGGAAAGTCATTAAAGTTTTTTTTATTCTTTTCTTGTGACCAGGGTTGTCACACGGGGATTCCCGGGGCCCAAACTGGGGTAGGGGTTTCACCCCCGGTCCCCCGCCGC